AGATGGATTAATCCTTGCAAGATCAAACAGCTTTCATCTATGATCTTTCTTGATACAACCATTCCCCATTCATGTGGCGCGGGATTGTTGGACTTTTAAGCCATTGGGGCTTTAACTATTAAAAGTTGGTGAATATGAAAAATGGAGGGAAATAAAATGGAGGGAATGATTGAAGAAGTGAGCTTATGTCTGCACTTGTGTCCCTTCATTGGTGAGGGACAACTACATTTGTGTGCTTTAATATAGATACTTCTTAAAGCTCTTTAAAAGGAGTTGAAGAGAATAGACCCCCGCGCCGTCGTCGTCGCTCGGCTTCGGCTTCGGCTTTGGCTTTGGATTTGGAATTTGGATGTTGTCAAAATGATCCGATCGATAAGATTAATTTTTTGGACAAAATTTATTTATTAATTATTTAATATTAATGTAAATGCAGATCAATGCTAATTCAGAATATAGTCCTGGCCAGCGGTCCTGGCGTAACGCGCAGTAGGACAGCGCCAGACACCCTTCACAGGTTCGAGAGCCACTTTGGCCGCGGTCTCTAGCGGTAACCGCGGTAGGACGCGGCAGACGGCGACAATTTGACAGGCACCTTCCAGAACAGATATCACACCTCTTTCATAATTGCCTAATAAGGTTCAGAAGGCATGGCTTCGTTTTTATAGACACCAAAACATATTTTACAAGACTTTCCTTACTTTCCTGAAAATACTGCAATTCTTAATTCGCAGGTCTACTCTCTCGTCGAATTCGTAAGTGTGATATTTTGCTCCGCTCTTTACGTTCGTTGGTATCCCTGCAGTTTGTATGCCACTGTTGAATGAAGGTGATTTATTCGGATTTATCACTGGGAGATTTAATCCATTACCTTGGCAAAGTGTGAGGGGGTTAAAATCACTTAAGGATGCACAAGCAAATTGTGGACCTCGAATTACTTTCTGAATCTTTTACTGTCTTTCTTCAGTTTCTTTTTTATTTCTACTTTTCTGATTTTGTATTGAACACCGGTAAGGCGCTCCACAAGTGACAGAGAATCCATATATCTCTATGTCTTTTTTTGGTTTAAAAGCCAAGAAGGTTAACATGCCTAAAATCGAAGTTTGAGTATTCATATTGCTTAACAAGATACTAAGATTTTGTTGCACTGATGCTTTTGTGAGATACACATTTCTTGACTTCTACACATGAGCATGTCTTTTCTTTTTCCGTTTTAGTAATGAAAACCAATTTCTTAATTCGAGATGGTAATGTTGGTAACTACATGTTTTCTTTACCTGTACGGCTTTCTGAGCAAAGTTATGTTGTGATATGAAATCCGGGATTAGCTAGAGTGGTCACAAAAGCAATTTGTGCAAACTGACTTCTTTTCTTTTAATCCTATAATGGGATTAATTTGATATCTGTTCTGTTTATAGTAGCTTTGCAATGACACTTTAAGTGATCCAAATGTTGGGTCTAGGTAATGTGTTTCCTGTAGAAGAGCTTGCTATGACTAGCAATCTTGTATGGTCCATTTTTCTCTTTTTCTTTCTTTGATAAATTTATTTAAGTCCTAGCATTCTAGCTGAAGAGGTAATGACTTTATTTAATCCTCTTTTGTAGGTTGGAGTAATCAAGAAATAGAGAAGAGGCAATGAAAGATCTTAGACCTTATCTTAAAATGAATTTTGAGATTTGCTATAAGATGAATGTTTAAGAATCTTTTGTTTGTCAACATTTTTGAAACTTACTATCTTGAAATGTATTACTTATGCACCTTGGGGTAGAGAATAATATTATAATTTTATTTTTGTGAATTTATTTAAATATGTTTGAGTGTTATTATAATTGTATTTTAGTATATGATATAATATATATATATATATATATATATATTACAGTAGGAGCTATATTTCTGTTTTATATGAGCTGTTACAATAGTCTACCATAACCGTTGCAATAGGACACAAATGGCGTTCCATTAGAATGTAAATCGTTCCAATAGATCCAGTAAACCGTTCCAAAATTCCCTCTAAACCGTTCCAATAGGTATTTAAAACCGTAGCGATACAAAAACAACCGTTACAATAGCTTAAAGAGACCGTTTTATATCCATAAATAACCGTAACAATAGCTTACGAAAGTGTTGCATTAGATAATATGGTAACGGTTATGAGCCGTTGCATACACATTATAGTAATGGTTTTAAACCGTCCCGATTGGAAGGAATGATCGTTCCAATAGAGAAAAGGAAAACCGTTGCGATAGACGCCTCTATAGCAACGAATATGTAAACCGTTCCAAGAACCGTTCCTATAGCTCTATTGGCACGCGAGCGGATGTGACGGTCTGTAAACCGTTCCAATATCACTACGGCAACGGTTTGTCTACCTACTGGAACGGTTTTTCATGCATTACCATAGACCAATTTTTCAGTAGTGGTATTTAGTGGCTTAAGACTAGGAGGTAACCAAAATTAAGTATTTTGCTATAAACCTTAAAAGGTATCTATAGAATATAATTTTTTTAAATGGTATTTTTTTAAAATAAATAAGGTGTTAACCTTTGCTATAGGAGATAAAAATTCCTTAAATTAATAACATATAAAAGAAGATGCAAGGAACCTTGCAAAAGTTGAGATCTGTCAGTGCATCAATATGATAAGAAATGGAGTAGGTTGTATCTAGGGCTGGTGTAGGCCACACTCTATTACTAGTATATTATTTTTCTTTATCTATAAATGAGAAATCTATCTCAGGATTAATACTAGTTGATACGTAGTTCGAAACTCCATCGATAATAAACTTAATTATTATTTTTATATATTTTCGTTTAAATACTAGTCTTTTAATTAGTAAAAGAACCCCAACGCATATCTTATTTATAACTCACCGTGTTGTGTTCTTAGAGGCGGAGTCAGAATTTTAAGCTGTGGGTTCAGTATATTAATCCTATTAAGTTATTAGTTTCACATTAATAAATTGTACATATTCAATAAATTTTTTGAGACAAATATACGGTTTAATACTAAAATTACTTGGTTTAGTCGAACTCGCAAACGACACTTTGGCTCCGCCCATATGTGGTTAAAATATCATGGTATAGCCAGTTTTCATACTGGTCAATGAAAAATAGCCAGCGTTTATCAAGTCAATGAAAAATAGCCACTATTTTGCTGCAACAGGGACCGGTCCAGTATAATATACGGGAGTTCTGGTGCATTTGTGTACGAACTCCAGCATATTATGCTGGACCGGTATACTTTGCTAACTCCTTTAAAATTTGCGGGAGACTGGAGCACCAGTGCTCCAAACTCCAGTATATTATACTGGACAATTATACTTGCCGAAACTCCCGTAAAATTTGCCGGAGTTCCAGCATAATTATGCTTGAACTCCCGTAAAATTTGCGGGAGTTCCAGCATAGTTATTTACGGGAGTTCAAGCATACTTATGCTGGAACTCCCGTAAAATTTGCGGGCGTATTTTTCCGGATTTTGAACAGTGTTTTCGCTCAGATTTAAAATGGCTAAATTTCGATGACTTTTGAAACTTGGCTATTTTTCAACGATCAGTGGTAAATCTGGCTATTTTTGAATTTCTCCCCCATATGTGCTCTTACCATGTAACCAAAATCCTTGTCAAGCTTTCACTCCAAAGATTATATTAACTATTCAAGTAATTAAGTGGATAGCTTATAAAAGAACCCACCTCGTACTTAATTTAAAGACCTTTAAAGATTTCTAATAATCTCCAACTCTAAAGATTCCCTTCTTCTTTTCTCTTTTTTATTATTATTATACAACTTTTTTCTTTTTCGAGTAACAGCTGCCTCTAAAATCTGACACCTTTGTAATAATATAAAATAATCCATTAAAAAAGTGGACAATTTTATTATACGAGACGAAAACGGAAAGTGCCTGAACCAGATAAGTGGTGTCCAGATATGCCTGATAAGGAGTTTTTAACGAAACGTCATTAAAGATCTCATTAATTAGACTTCCTATTAATTAAACAAACATTTGATACCATAACTTGGTGTTGCTAAGGTTTTACTTAAAGTTGACCATGATGATAAGTTGGTGTTGCTAAGGTTTTCATAGATTTAACTTTTTAGCAAAATAGTTCCAACATAAAATTCCATATAAATTATAGTAAAATATTTGGTTATGATCGTGCAAGAAAAAATAACTATCACATAACTTTTGCGACGTTTGATTGGCTTTATTGAACTATGCGTAATTTCTTGTATTATTTTATGTGAATAGAGGGTGAAATAAGAATACATGTTTGAATTATAAGAGTAGGTAATATGAAAAGAGTGCTGCTATTCGGCCAAACTCAGCGTGGCCCAAAAATGACCACACCCGTGAAATGCCAGTAATGCCCTTGTTTTTCCGTTTGGCTTAATGGCCCTTTTTTCCCTCCAAAATTAGTTAATAACTTTTGATTATTCCAAAACATTGATCCCATAAATCATCATTCTCTCAGCATGGGAAGATAAAAAGCCTTCGTATATACGTATGGCAGCCTTCGTATATACGCTCAATTACGTTTTTTTTTTAAATATAATTACGTATTTTTGTTAAATACAATTACGTATTTTTTTTTAATTAAATGCAATTTATACGGATGGGAAGATCAAAGGTCTATTATGTATATATCATACCATATACTTATGTTAAGATAGCTTTCATTAAACACATAATTCACCACACTTCCCTAAACCTAAACATGAATACTAACCGAGAAACTAATTTGGACCCATTAAACCCGAATAACAGTCTAGAAACTAGGTCGGATCAACTAAGGAATGCATTACACATATCATTAGGGTTGAATTCGGACGACAGTTTGATGAATGAAGATGAATCGATCGACATTGATTCAGACGGCAACTTCAATGATGGAGAAAATCCTGTTGACGATGCTGCTGCTGCTGCTGCTGCTGCTGATGATGATGATGATGATTACGACGGCCATTATTTAGAGGAAGAGGGAGAAGTTGGATAGGACAGGGAAATGCCTAATGAGTTCAATGAAGAAGATCTTATAATTGGTCCAATTACTGGGATGCGGTTCAGTAGTAAGGATGTTCTGTTTGATTTTTACAAAGAACATGCAAGATTATCGGGTTTTTGCATTGTCAAAAGAACGTCCAACAAAAAAGGTGGTGATATTGTTAGGTATGTGCAATATGGTTGTGATAGGTCTAGGAAACCAAGGAATAAGCATGTTACCAAGAGGAAGAACTGTCGAGCTAGAATAAATGGAATTTTGGAGGAGAATGGTTCATGGCGTGTTTCAAAGGTGGTAAAAAAACATAATCATCAATTGGAACCAGCACTATCGCGATTGATGGCTGGACACAGATCGCTTAGCAAGTCTCTTAAGAGAACTCTTGCAGCCAAAGATATTGCTGGCTTAAGACCCTCAAAAAATATAAGAGTTGCTGAAGTACTTGCTGGTGGCCCCGAAAATCTGGGTTGTACACCAAAGGACTGTAGAAATTATATCTTGAAGAGTAGAAAGCTTCAGTTGCAAGAAGGGGATGCACAATCATTACTCAAGTTCTTCAGTGACATGCAGCAAAAAGATAGGGAATTTTACTACTCCGTAGATGTGGATAGTTTTGGTCGACTTCGTAATGTCGTATGGGTTCATTCACACTCTAAGGTTGCATATGAGGAGTTCCATGATGTAATATGCCTTGATACCACATACCTTGTGAATCGATACAATATGCCATTTGCTTCATTTGTTGGTGTCAATCAGCATAGGCAGTCCATACTTTTGGGATGTGCTCTTATGTCTAGTGAGGATATAACAAGTTACAAAATGGTGCTATCTACATGGCTTGGGGCTCTAAACATG